TATTGTATTGGTCTCTAAATTCAATTTGTTTCCTCCTCTCCCCACTTCTTTTCTTGGTTGGTTGTCTGATTGTTTCTTACTCCCAGTGCTGAAATTTTGTTCAAGCCACGGAGCACGACTGAAACAACTGAACCCAAACATCTGAATGTTCAGTGCTGTATTTGTGATGGATTTACCCAAAACCTACTCACATGAACTACTATACTAAAAATTAATGACTAAACTCATTAATTATGCCCTTTAATTATTATGTCCCATTAAAGAAGAGCTAATTGTGGTTTCTTTCAGGGATGGGGGGGGTTCTATTTGAAAGCTGTAGTTTTGCATTGGGTCATTTGAAAGGCTGGGAGAGCTGGGGTGGTTCACCTGGAGAAGAGAAGGCTCCAGGGAGACCTGAGAGCCCCTTCCAGGGCCTAAAGGGGCTCCAGAAGAGCTGGAGATGGACTGGGGACAAGGGATGGAGGGACAGGACAAGGGGGAATGGCTTCCCACTGCCAGAGGGCAGGGTTAGATGAGATACTGGGAAGAAATTGTTCCCTGTGAGGATGGGGAGGCCCTGGCACAGGTTGCCCAGAGAAGCTGTGGCTGCCCCTGGATCCCTGGAAGTGTCCAAGGCCAGGTTGGACGGGGCTTGGAGCAACCTGGGATGGTGGAAGGTGTCCCTGCCCATGGCAGGGGGTGGAATGAAATGGTCTTTAATGTCCCTCCCAACCCACACCACTCTGATTCTCTGATGTACTTCACATACTCTCTAAATTAAAGAAACAATTAATTTCTGCCAGAACATAAAATTATTTTTAAGTCTCCTTAGTGGTTACCCTGGTAACCACCTACAATTCAGTCCTTCCTCACTAACTTCTCTCAGTTCATCTTTTCCTATTCATCTTATTTATTTTATCCTATTTGACAAAAAAAGGAAGAATTACATCAGCTTAAACTGCTGCCAAGTGCCTGCCACTGGGATTATGCTTCATAATTGAATGACAGCCTGGCAAATAAAGCAGACACACCCTGTAAATCACATCTAACTGAGCCCATATCCAAACACCAGCCATTCCAGGGACTGCAATTAACCCACTGCTCTTTTCCCATGGTTCTCCCTCCTGGAGATGCTTGGGAACATGCTGGGAACTTCAGGAAGGTGAAACCGGAGGTATCTGAGCATCAAGAGTTGTGTGGTGGTCGCTCACCCTGCCCTGCTGAGGCCACAAACAGCTCTGGGGGAAAGGAAAGATTTCAAGGTGAGTCTCGGTTTTCTGGCACGAAAAAAATGGATAAGTGGGAATAGAAACAATCTGGCTTCACTGGAAACTCCAGACCCTGCTCTTCACAAGCCAGAGGCTGAGGCAGATACAGATACCCAGATGATGAGTTTTAACCTCAGGTACTTCAACCCCTCCTTTGCTTTCAAAACAAACCATCAGTGACCAGGGTCTGCCAATGAGTCTGACCCTTATTTTCAACCATCATCTCCTCCCGCCACTCTGGAAAAAGGCACTTCTTGCTAACTGGTGTTTCCACAAGTAGGGCTTCCAAAGCAGCAACCTCTGCCATCCAGCTGGAAGGCCCTTGTTGGGGAATACTTACTGCACCCACTGGGATAAATTAAATACATATTTGTGCTTGGAACGTAAAAATATAATTCATGAACGTGCTTTTTCTCTGAAAGTCTGATGAAATGGGATTCTCTTGTAAATTTTGCTATAAAAGTTGTGTTTTACAAAACTTTCAGCTACCATAGGAAGACAAAGCAACTCAATCCAGTTCCACCAAGCCCTGTCCAACCTGGGATAGTGGGAGGAGTGGAACAAGATGAGCTTTAAGGTCCCTTCCAACCCAAACCATTCTGGGGTTCTCTGATCCTAATACCCCATATTTGAGGATCATCAAAGCTGTTGTCAGTGACAGGAATAATGAGAATAGGAGGAGAATATCAGTTTCTTTTCAAAATTACTCAGATGATGTGAATTCATCAACGCAGAAGATGACAGCAAGTGCATTTGAAACTCCTACTAAGAATCTGACTTCCCCAGTAGCATCAAAATCTGAATAATTTCTACAGTGCAAGCTCTACCTGTACTTTATTAATGTTCTTCTAAATTTCAACCTGGAAAACTACTCTTTTAATTTTACTCACCTGAGCTGTTCAAGAAAAGACATTCATTTGATTAATTATTCTTAAAATAAAATGGAATGGGGATTGTACTTAACTAACAGTAATTACTTTTCTTTTCTACAGGCCAGAAAACAAGCTAAGTGGCACTGAGTGCCGAGAATGCTCAGTGCTAGAACAATAAATTACAGCCTGATTCTCTGCAACAAGAGCACTTCTTAATTGTTTCTAATTTTACTTTAACTAAACACACAGTTTGATGCCATCCACTTATAACAATTTCTGGCTTCTGCCTCGATCCATTTTGCCTGCCAGCAAAGTCAGGGAGAATTCTGTCAGGAATAGCTTCGAGAAATAAAACTGTCACTTTTTTTGGTCCTCCTTTGACGATCTTGTCCCCTGATGGCCTTTTTCTGAGTCAAATGTTTCTGAAGGGGACAAGCAGATTCCCCTCTTCACCCTCAAATTTCCCCCACCTGTATAGCTGCTCTTTTCCACCCCTTTCTTATCCCTCTGACTGACACACACGACTATCTGTGCCTAAGAAGTCAGGGATGGCTCTTGGAAAAGCAGGAAGGATTTCACAGCCTGGCCACGTTTCGTACGATCGACTCCAAATGTCATCTGGCATCCGTGGCTCGTGTTTCATTTACTTTCAGACACAAAACACTCCTTTACCTAAATAACTGTGCCCTTCAGAATTCTTGATCTCTTGCAGTGCCATCGTGCAGGTCCTGTTATGGGCTCCCCACAACCCCCTGGCAGGAGGGTTTCCTCTCCTCTGAGGAAACGGCCTCAAGTTGCACCAGGGGAGGTTTAGGGTGGATATTAGGAAAGGTTTCTTCACAGACAGGGTTGTAAAGCCTTGGAAGTGGCTGCCCAGGGACATGGTGTTCAAAACACCCTGGAGGTGTTCAAAAGCCACGGGGATGTGGCCCCTGGGGACATGAGTTACTGGGGAACACGGTGGTGGTGCTGGTTGATGCTTGGACTTGTGGACCTTAAAAAGGCCTTTTACAACCCTAGTGATTCTATGATTCTTCAGTCCTGAAATTCACGGGTTTGCCAGAATTTTTGTAGTTTTTGACTATGTTAAACCTTCAGCTGAAGGTTTGCAGCTGGAAGCAACGACCAGCGAAAAGTCCGGAGGGAAAAACCAAAGTTTAACAAAAATATTACCCCCACCTGCAAAACTCTGCTCAGTTATGGTCTCAGACCACCCCAACAGCAACACTGCCAGTGCTGATTTGTGCACCTAGAATTCCCTTTTCATTGGAGAAGGGGAGACCTTCTTGTTCTCCCTGACAGGAGGAGGGGGGGGTGTCAGGCTCTGCTTCCAGGGACAAGGGACAGGAGGAATGGGAACAGCCTCCAGCTGTGCCAGGGGAGGTTTAGATGGGATATTGGGACAAATGCCTTCACAGAAAGGAACAGGCTGCCCAGGGGGTGGTGTCACCACCCCTGAAGGGATTTAAGAGCCCCTTGGGGACATGGGTTAGTGGTGGCCTTGGCAGCGTCGAGGGAATGGTTGGACTTGATGATCTCAGAGGGCTTTTCCAACCTGAATGATCCCATGCACCAGGCACACACCCAGTCACGTGTCACCACCCATTTCGCACGGCAGAGAAACCTGGTGGAGATTAAAATTTCAACGCAGAAGACGGAGGGAAAGAAATTTGGTCCAAGGAAATCCCGCAGATCTTTTTCCGAGTGTGTCCTTCCCAACACACAGTGGTGCTGTCACTTCACAGCTTCTTTAACCCCAAAGAAATAAACCTTTAAAAAAACCACAGGTGTTGCTACGTGACCCTTTTTTTTTTTTGGCTTTGTTTATGAAGCCTGAACTGAGTGTTCACATTTGATGAAGTCGGTGAAGTAGAAGCTAAACAGTTTCCCACTTCTCCGTCGTTTCTGGGCTTATTTTGGGAAGGATTGCCAAGAAAAATACGATGGACAACTCTTTAATAACCTCTGATCTTCTCTATTTCATTCCTGGCACTCTAAAACACATCATGAGGTCAACAGAAAGCTGAGCAGGTCATATTTCTGTGCCCTTTCATGCATAAGCTGGAATCAGCAACTTCAAAGCTATTCCACTAATGTTTAAAGTGAACAGAGATGCAGGAGATCTGCTGAGGGAACAGAATAAAGCCAGAGGAAAGAAGCTGCCTTGGCAGCTCAAGCTGCCTCAAGCACAAAAGATTGTGTCACAAAAGCAGTTTTATTGAAAAAAAAAAGCATTTTATTGAAGACTTATTGCTTTTACACTTGGCTATTTTTATGTCTGGTTCTAATTAGATTCTATGTATTATATTTTCTTGAATTTTTTTCTATTTTTAAAAACCTTCCAGTTAATTTTCCTCAAAATTATGTCCCAGTGCTGACCTGAAACAGAAACTGCTCTTTCCCTTTTAAAACCTAAACATGCTGCTGCCAAGTAGTCAGAAAAAACTAAGGTAAAAACTGGTGTTGACCATCAAAAAATCATCATCTAAATATTAACAGATATAAAATGAAAGCTACAAACCCTCATGGGAAATAAGCACCTAAAATTCAGTAGAAAAAAACCCTGGTTTTTAACTCAAAATCATGCTTGTGTCAGTAATTGCTGGAAACAGCAGGACAAGGCATGTCAATCATACCCACACCAATGGAAACCAGCACACCCTCATTCATACTCAGACACTGATTTCAGCAGAAAAATGGCCCATTCTGTGCTTATTATTCTTGTTTCTAAGAAGAAATACAGCAAAAATTGGTGCCAGTGCCTGAGAAGCTCCAGCAGCTTTAGAAGACACATATTTCAAAATCTCCTGTGAAAAATCAAACCAGTGAGTAAATATTTTCCCACCGCCAACGAATGTCAGTTAAAAAACTTCAGTCTTACCTTAACTTTAAGCACAGAAGAAAACATTTTGGCATCTTCAGACACCCCTCCAATGTACATTTTTTTGGTGAACACAGGCACGTGGTCATTTTCATCCTTCACCTCGATAAACACCTTGGCTGTGTTACCTAAAAGAGGGAAGGAGAAGGGTAAATAGAACATTTTGTCCTAATTTTGATACCTGCTGGCATTCCATTTGCAGCTCGAAGAGACAAAAGGCAGCGTACGGAAAATAGTTTAAATATAAGTACCTTAGATATCCTAAAACTGCATAATCCAAGAATCATTAAGGTTGGAAAAGACCTCCAAGTCCCCCTGTGCCCGACGCCCACCTTGTCCCCCAGCCCAGAGCACTGAGTGCCATGGCCAGGCCTTCCTGGGACACCTCCTTTTTGTTAATTATTATGTCTCCATTTGCCATTTTTTGGTGAATGGATCTTGGTTTAACTTGGAGCTGAAATTTGTACCTTTATGAGAATAATTCCCATTATCTGGACCCCTGCACTTCACCATCAGGGCTACCTGAATTTGCCCATGAGCAAAAAGGTGCCATGGATTTCCTTACAAAGCAAGCACTTTGGGTAAAAGACAAGCAAAGACCTGTAGCTAATTTTTTAAATAACTAGAAAAGCACAAGTAACGATGTCATACCTTAGTTACACAGATTTTGGTCCCATTAAATACTCCTAAATGTTACAAAGAGGTAATGAAGGATCAGCACCAGTAGGTCTGCTGCAAACAGCAGCTTGCTTTATAGATTTTAATTATTACCAACTCTCCTGCAGCTACTTAACAGGTGATTCAGTTCTGGTGTCTCTAAACTCATAAATGGTCAGCAGCCCTGGCTAAGCAGCCTCAGCACCCAATTAATTTATTGTGTTAATTGAATGCATCTCTAAGCCTGTCCTCCTTCCCAGACCTGGTCTGGCCCAGAGGAACTCCACAGGTATTACCCCCCCTGAGAGGTTCAACACAAACCACCACTGTTTATTTGCTTTTATTAAACAGTTCCTGATCCACCCCACTGAACAATAAACATCTCCATCCTTCTGCAAGGGAAAAACATCCAGCAAAAACTACAGAGCCAGTGCCAGACAGAATCCACCGTGCAGTAATCTCCACCAACATCTGTTTCTCTCTTTCAGCATTGTATAATCCAGAAAGATTGCTGGAAATGATGATATCCAGTTCATTAAAACCACATTTGCAAGTGATAAATTGCCTCATTGCAGAGTTGGTTTTCCCAGCTCGTTGCAGTGCCAGGGTAATTTAAATGTTGCACAGGTGCCACGCTGGGCTGAGTTAGTTACACAACAGGGCTCCTTTACCAAGGTTTAGGAGCTGTATCTTTAGGGGAAGAAAAATTTAAATCCAGACTATTTCTCAAATGGCCAAAGTCATATTCTGCCTATCTGATGGTCCAACTGATGGGAAACAAATGAGGACTCCACATAAATAAGTGAAATCTGAAAAAACTCGCAACATTTATAATGCCATCGATCTGTCCCTGCCCAGCCGTGTGTCCTGGGGACAGGGAGGGCAGTGGGATCCTGGGGGGCAGCAGGGCAGGGAGGGGATCCTGCCCCTCTGGCCAGCCCTGGGCAGGCACATCTGCAGGGCTGGGCCCAGCTCGGGCTCCTCAGCACAGCAGGGCCAGGGAGCTCCTGGAGCAGGGCCAGCGCAGGCTGCGGAGATGCCCAAGGGATGGAGCAGCTCTGGGAGCAGCAAAGGCTGAGGGAGCTGGGGCTGTTCAGCCTCCAGAGCAGAGCCTGAGAGGGGCCCTCAGCCATGTCTGGAGGGGCTGCAGGGAGGGGGCAGAGGATGGAGCAGGCTCTGCTCGGGGGGGCCCAGCAATGGCCCAGGAGGAACGGGCAGGAACTGATGGCCAGGAAGTTGCAGCTGGACAGGAGGAAGAACTTGTTGGCTGGGCAGTGCCCCAGCCCTGAAGAGAGAGCAGAGAGGGGGTGGAGTGTCCTCCCTGGGGCTATTCCAGAGCTGTCTGGACACACTCCTGTGCCCTGTGCTCTGGGCTGGCCCTGCTGGAGCAGAGAGGTGGCACCAGATGCCCACTGTGGTCCCTTCCAGCCTGACCCATCCTAGGATTCTGTGATCCAGTGCATTAATACAAACAGAAGGAAAAAAGAGAAAGGAAAGAAAAGAAAAATCCTGTTAAACCAGATCCTTATCGTTTCTGGCTGCAACACCAAGTTACAGCAGAAAGATGAGATTCCCAGGCAGACTCTTCCACTGTAGCTCCACTCTTTAGGGAAAGAGGCAACAATGGGAGGAGGATTTCGGGCAATGCACGGAAGTGATGTTGCCCTGCTGAGGGAATAACCAGCTACATTAATGGCTGGCACCAGTTTGCTGTTGGAAGGGAGATCTAATTCTATCAGTGCTGGCAGGATCAGCCCTTTGCTCACCTACCCCAGCTCTGTGTAATGCAAATTTAAACACCTTTTTTCCTGGTGCTCACTATCACTGCCATGTCAAGCCCGCTTGGGTGAGGTGGCTCAGCCTCCTGCAAAGTTTGTGTCACAATTTGCTCAACAATCCATTTGTTTCATTTGCTGGTGGTTCTCTGAGCTGCCAAAACACTGATTTGTTTAGTGAGGGGTGAATGCTTTGAAAATGAGAAATGGAAGTTACCACATTAAGCACAAACCAAATGAAATATCCTGCACATCCACAGAGCCCCGTCAGCACCATCAGCACCAAACACCTCCCTGCATTTCAGCTTCTGCCTGAGTTTTACACACAGCTTACATGTCCTCCCTTCTGGCAGATGGAGTTGAACGTGGCATCTGTGAACTCCTCCCTGTGCTGGCCTTTGCATCCAATTCCAAGCTCCAGCTGGCCGCAGGACACAGCTCCCAGCCAGCTACAGAGGTTGCCTGACCCTCATTCTCACCAAGATCCCTCAGCAGCAGCTGTGCCAGGCGTGGAAGGTCGTGCCAGACCCTTCCCCATGGGGATTTTCCTGCTTGGTTCAGCAGATATCCCTGATCATGGGGCTCTGGTGCTCCTAAAATCCACCAGCCCTGCCCCTCCAGCATCCTGCCCCATGGAGAAGGCCACCCAGCTGGAGCACATTCTTACAGAGGCTGGCTTAGGCTCTGCCATTGGACTGCTTTTTCCTTCATATTCCTAATTTGTTCCTGCTGCTTCTAAACATTGTTTGTGTGTGGCTCCAATCCTCTTTGCGTCCACTGTAAGGACAGGGATCCTCAAAGAGTGTCAATAGTTACACTCACCTTCCATAGGAGAAATTTTATATCCTCCTACATGTAAAACCTTCCATCTTTGGTATTCCAGACCTGGAGATCAGCTACAGTTACACTCTTCTTTATTTTTTTAATGGATTCCAGGAGTTGAAACCAGGATCTACTCTCTATATGACTTCTTGGGAGACCTCACACAGTTAAAGAATATTTCTTATTGCTATGACTGAGTTACCTAAACAGCTGGCCAGGTGAAAAAAGAAACAGCATTTCTGCCTGGATGAAGCAGCACAGGCTGTCAAGGGGGCCAAAAAGAGCAAAGAAAATTGATTTTGTGCCACTTCAGTCTCCTGCAAGGTCCCTGTGTCCCGTTTCCCTCTTTTCCAGCCCCCTGGAGAGGAGCTACTGTGCACAGAGAGTACAGAACTGTAGCTGCCTCTAAGTCAACTTGGGTTTATAAGAACCAGCTAAATAACCACTCCCAAGACCAGAAGACCTTTGGATCTTTGAGCTTCTGGGATTTGCTCAAGGAGAGTGAAAAGCTGAGGAACCTCTGAAACAACTTAAACTACTAAACCACGAATGACTAATATAAAAACCAAAACCCACAGAAACCCCAGGGAGCTGGTCACAACTAGTGTGTAGTAGCACTTCATTTCCAGAAGTTCCTCCCAGAGTGTGCATAGCATTTCATTTCCAGAAGTTTTTCCCAAACACTCTTGTTGAAAACCCTTTCCCAGCATCACTGCTTATCTACCTGCTGGATCCATTCGTTTCTCACCAGGCTGCAGAAATGAAGCTGAACTAAAGCAATGCTTTTTGGACACTGGGACAGCATCAATGATGCTTTGAGTGTCCCCTGATTAGTTTTACACAAGGTTTCCCCCAATAGCACTGCCCTTGTCTTCTGGAACACACCAAACCAGCCACTGATCCAGCTGCTCTTCATGCAAAGATCATTTAACATCAATCCCCGCAGCTCAAAAGGCAGTGGCTCTTCTGCTGGAGGCAACAGCAGATTCCTCCCTTTAAAAGTGCATTTTAATCGCAGTGGGAGTGAGATTTGTAATTTGTCAGGGTTTAGTAGCACTTTACTCCTGCCTTACAAGGGCTGGAGCAGACTCTGGGCTTTGGCAGGTGAACTGCACTGAGCTGCAGCTGCTCCATCTCGCCTTCCTGAATTTGGCACAACCAAATAGGAATCAGCACTGAATATCTGTTCAGTGGCATTTTGATCTAAATCAGCCCATAAAGCCCGAGGAAGCTCCTCATGTGCTATCACTGATCAAGAATGGTGCAAAAAGAAGCTGTGACAAGACACAAACAGCGACATATCTGGAACAGCACCGATCCAAGCTCTGATTGAAATCCATAGAAAACTTCATTTTCTACCAAATAATTAACTGAATGAGAGCTCACATTTGATGTGGTCTCTCTAAAATGCACTAAATACACCTAAAGAAATTTGAGGTTTGTCCCAAACTGCCCCAGAGCTGTGAGGAATCAGCCACAGCTCTGCAGGCTCTGCAGCGTATTGTGTCCATCTGTCCTGGATTTGGGGACTGCCAGAGCAGCCAACTTGTAAAACGCCATCAGCACCGACTTTTGCAACATGTTTGAAACTAAAAATGTGAGGCTACTTATTGTTACTTTGCTATTACACTGGGGACACAGAACCCATGTTCATATTTAACTTTGTAGGACAATTGTTCCCAATCACTGTGGAGCAGCTGTAGGATTTTGGTTGTAAAACTGGTTTTCTCCCATTTTCACTTTATTCCCAAAGGTTTACTTTGTGTTTAGAAAGCAAAAACAACACAGGAGAGACAGAACTGTTCCCTTACCCCCCCAAAACCCAGAGCAAAGCCCAGATCAGAGCTGGGAACACACCTGGGGGACAGCCAAAGGTGAAAGACAGTTCTACCTGACTGGATCAAACATGGAAATAATCAGCTGAAGGGTCTATTTTTGCTTAAAAATCTTTTGACACCAAACTAAAAACCATCTCTGACAAGATCCTATCAGAGGATCCCAGAATCCCTGAGGTTGGAAAAGCCCTCCAAGGTCACCGAGTCCCCCCTGTGCCCGATGCCCACCTTGTCCCCCAGCCCAGAGCACTGAGTGCCACGGCCAGGCCTTCCTGGGACACCTCCAGGGATGGGCACTCCAAACCTCCCTGGGCAGCCCCTGACAAGGCCTGACCACCCTTTCCAGCAACAAATTCCTCCTCCTGTCCAACCTGAGCCTCCCCTGGCACAGCTGGAGGCCGTTCCCTCTCCTCCTGTCCCTTCTTCCCTGGGAGCAGAGCCCGACCCCCCCCCGGCTCCCCCCTCCTGTCAGGGACTTGCAGAGCCAGAAGGTCCCCCCTGAGCCTCCTTTTCTCCAGGCTGAGCCCCCCCAGCTCCCTCAGCGGCTCCTGCTGCTCCAGCCCCTTCCCCAGCTCTGTTCCCTTCCCTGCACACGTTCCCATTCTTTGTAAATACACCCTTCCCTTTGGGATCAAAAGCCTTGGTGTTTCCCACCACAGTATATTTCTCATCTGCCTGGCACAGGGACCAGGCTGGGTTTGGAAGGGACCTTGAAGATCATCCAGTCCCACTCCCTGCCATGGGCAGAGACATCTTCCACTAGACCAGGTTGCTCCAAGTCCCACCCTTGGACACTTCCAGGGATGGGGAAGCCACAGGTTCTCTGGACATGCCCACTAATGTTTTTATTCTTATACTGGGACCATGTTTAATTTGCTGTTAAACCCTGTCTTTGCCCCTGTTTGTCTCTACAGCTCCACTGCTCTTCCTCACTGTGTTTAGGCAGCACTTTGTCTTTGCTGCTCCCTCTGTTTCCCCATAAACACTTCTGCTTCCCCATAAATCCTTCTGCTTCCTCCTGCCCCTTCCCTCTCTGCCATGAGGGCCATCATGTCCAACTCCTGGCCCTGCACAGCCCCAAGAACTCCCACCATGTGTCTCAGAGCATGGCCCAAACCCCATTAACACTGAAGGTCTTTCACGGTTCAGCATCACCAGGTTGCTGATTCCTCAAGCCAGAATTCCAAGCTTTTTAACTCACCATCATCAGGAAACCTAACTCTCCTTCCATTCAAATGAAGTAAAAATGCACAGCAATTCCATGTGATAAAGTTTCACTTAAAGTAACTCATTTAGTGAGTTTGATTCCATTGAAAGGGAGAGTGTGACTTTGCATGATTTAGCATCATATATTAAAAACCCACCTTAAGTTACCCATTTGATGTTCTCATACTGCAAAGGACATCATTTACTTTTTCTCCTCATATATTTATTCAATGATTGCTACACTATCAGTGGCACTGTCACTGAATGACAGGCTTAGTTACACTTAATGCATTATTTGTCCACTTTTCCCTTGCATGGATGAAAACTCAAACTCCTGCTTCTATATAATTATCTTCTCTAATACCATCAGTTAAAACAGTTGGTACCCAGCTTCTGAGCCCTGTGTGGTGGCTGAGCAGTTTGTCAGAGCTTTGTTATTTCGAGAATCCCAGAATCCCTGAGGTTGGAAAAGCCCTCCAAGGTCACCGAGTCCCCCCTGTGCCCGATGCCCACCTTGTCCCCCAGCCCAGAGCACTGAGTGCCACGGCCAGGCCTTCCTGGGACACCTCCAGGGATGGGCACTCCAAACCTCCCTGGGCAGCCCCTGACAAGGCCTCACCACCCTTTCCAGCAACAAATTCCTCCTTATGGCCAACCTGAGCCTCCCCTGGCACAGCTGGAGGCCGTTCCCTCTCCTCCTGTCCCTTGTTCCCTGGCAGCAGAGCCCGACCCCCCCCGGCTCCCCCCTCCTGTCAGGGACTTGCAGAGCCAGAAGGTCCCCCCTGAGCCTCCTTTTCTCCAGGCTGAGCCCCCCCAGCTCCCTCAGCCGCTCCTGCTGCTCCAGCCCCTTCCCCAGCTCCGTTCCCTTCCCTGCACACGCTCCAGCCCCTCCGGGTCTTGCACAAAGTGAGGGGCCCAAAAATCACTGCAGCTCCAGAGTAGGTCACCAATGCCCTGCTCAGAAATTCCAGAGCAAATTCCACCGATTTAGTGGTATCCAGCACCCAAAGTGGCAGCACCTCATTGCCACTGGGAGTCTCAGTGGTGTATTAATTCCATGTCACAGAATCCCAGAGCAGGGCATTCACAGTCACCCATCTCCAGAGTGGATACATCATTTCAGTAGCACCAAAGTCCTCAGTGGCGCATTAATTCTTCATCTCCTCCCACTGGAGCTCATCAATTCAGTGCCCTGAAACTCTGAAGTAGAATTTAACCTGATTAAAACTCATCAAAAACGAACAAGGTGATGAGAAAATGGAAAGGAAGACATTGTGGAAATGTAGGAATCAAACCCAGAGGTCAAGGGGTCTCCATTACAAAGACATAAGTGATTTAGCTGGCCAGATACTTGTAAAATATTTAAAATATATACATCTACCAAATTCTTTGGCTCTCCACGCAGTACAGGGCATATTCCAAGCCCAGCACAGGCTGTAAACACCTGGGTAGCCAAACACATTGGACTGAATTCCAACTCCAATCCTTATCGAGCATCCCTGGATAAAATAATTCAGCCACCACCTTTTGGGAAGTGCTGCTCTGTTGGGAGAACTGCTCTAGTGCAGGCTGGGAGTTGGAAGAGGGATAGAAAGGCCACTGTTTCCCTCAAAGGAGAGAAGAACCTGCTGACTCCCTCATTTCTTGATCCATGTCAGAGAAAGCTTTGGAGAAGGCTGGAAGATGCCCAGAAGCCTCATGTCCTCCCTGTGCACGGCCTGGCTGCATTTTCCAGCATATGCCCTTCAGTGGAGCTCTGCCAGGCACAGAAAGCTGAGACAGCTGTCCCAGAGCCCTCCTGCTCTCCCTCTGTACATGGCACCTGGAACATCAGCCAGGATGACATGTGCTCCATTTCCCAAAATCTCCTGCTGCTTACATGAGTAACACTGGAAACTGGGATGAACATATTGTAACTGCCAGCCCTGGACAATGTCTCAGGCTTTCCCTCAAACTATTCCCAAGTTTTATGGCATGTGCCCCAATACCTAAGCCCCTTCAACTAATACGAGATCACAGAATCCCAGAATAGTTTGGGTTGGAAGGGATCTTAAAGCTCAACTTGTTCCATCCCCTGCCATGGGCAGGGACACCTTCCACTGTCCCAGGTTGCTCCAAGCCCCGTCCAACCTGGCCTTGGACACTTGCAGGGATCCAGGGGCAGCCACAGCTTCTCTGGGCAACCTGGGACAGGGCCTCCCCACCCCCACAGGGTTCCTTCCTAATATCCCATCTAAACCTATTCTCTGTCATGACAGGGTGGCACTTTGTCACCCTGCCAGATTGCCCAGAGTGAGCAGCCAAAGCAGACAGAGCTGACACAGCTCACTCCTCCCTGCAGCAAAGGAGAAACAGAGATCCCACTGTGCTCTGAGTTCCAGTTTTCCCAGAGCTCTCTGTGCCTGGACACAGGCAGGATGAATTATCTCTGGCAAGAAGGTGACAGGCAGATGAAAGACTGATGGGAGTTCTCGTGCCCTGGGCTGGCCATGCAGCCCTCCTTGGGAGCAGAGATCAAATCCAAGGCCGTGGCAGCACCATCCCTACAGCATCAGCCAGCCAGCAATGCTTTCAAAGATGCACTTGGATTTGAATTGCTCCTTATATTGCTAAGGATTTCCAAAAATGATGAGAAGGTTTAATTATGCACCCACGTTGTAAGTGCCCAGATCTCACTGATGTTTAGGAACAGTCTGAGGTTGACATTTTGGTTATGGTATCTCCCTGGATTGACAACTAACTAAATAATGGTTATTCTCCTAAAACTGAAGTCTGAAGTAAATCTGAACTCCATCTGTAGTTCCTAGATTCAAAATATCAGTGTGATTCCCTTTTCTGAATGAATTATGCACACACAGCAGCAGGTACCCAAAGCCAGGCTTCAAGGGACTCCTCAGCTCCAAAACACATCCATGATGCTCCTTAACAGGAAAAAAACTGACACATGGAAACCAAAAAATACAAAAAAAATTGGACAAGAACAGTCTGTGTGGAAACATCTACCAAAATACTTTTGTTACAAGGTTTGGGGCTTTTTTTAAGCTCTGGCCCAACTGTGAGTTAAATAGGAAGTGGTACAGGACTGGCAAAGCGAGCCAAGTGTTTGAAAGCCAGACTTCCTGGACATTTTCCTTACAGGGAGGATTATAAAGACAATCAAAAGATGTTTCAAAATATTTTTCTTCAAAAAAGAAAGCCACTCAAGGGAAAAAGAAAACCCACACCATGAGACAGAGCCAAAGTAAACCTGTTGGGAATCAACTTCCTGCATGCAGATGCTGCAAAGAACCTTCTGGTCTTTGTCCCAGCACTTTGCTCTCAGCCAGGGTTCCAATACACTCCACACAGACCCTCAGGGGAGAGGAAGGAGTTTTTTCTCCCTGCTCCCCCTGCTGTGGGTCTGTTCCCCATCCTCTTGGTAGTGTCCCAACCCCTGGTGAGGTGTCACCAGCCCAGTTTGGGCCATGCAACGTGTTTGTGAAAAAGTCACTGTGCCATTGCATCACATAACCCCCTAATGACACTGAAAATGTACAATTTGTGCCATCAGCTCTCTGTTTATACATCAACATGACTTTTGACTCTGTCACTGAGACCTACACGGAGATGGTTTGTGAGGATTTACCTCAAAACTGAGCAGGAAGTCAGGCTTAGAGATCCATCATCACCCTCACACCTCCGGGAGCACAACCAGGTCACCGCCTCACCCTCACCAAATAACAACACCCATCTGTGCGAAAAAGAGATTTAAAAGGATGGATTTTCCCACTTACTCTTGGAAGGGACCCGCAGGTTGGATCTCACCACTTGCAAGGAATCTGCCTGGACCCGGAGCTCGTAACTCGTCACACTTTCATAATCCAGAGCCTTCTTAATGGAGATCACGCCCGTTCTGTTGTTGATGGCAAACACATCTGAAAGCCAGCAAGAACACAAGCAACTTTTTTTCTAAGATGCATAAACATGGTTGTTTTTTTTTTAATGCTCAAGTGTTTTGTTTTGGTGGTGACACTGTTCTCTGACACCGTCTGTGGAAAGTCATTCCCCTCCCTCCCCTAGGCCTCTAAGCTCCACTTTGAAGCTGTGCTGGATCCCACAGCTGCTGGGATAACCATCCCAGGATCAGGGAATCATAGAATATCCTGAGCTGGAAGCAATCCACAAGGCTCATCGAGTCCACCTCCTGGCCCTGCACAGGATTTGAGGTCACACTGGCAAGAGGAGACAAGTCAAACAGCCCCCTCTCACAAAAAGGAGGATGAGAGGGAGAATTCTTTCACATCCCTCCAAATTGTTGAGTGTGACTCTGTTGAGATTTCCAGGTGGATCACAGAGAGTACCCAAGCAGGATGTTTTGTTCAGGTATCAGGCTCTAATCTAATGCTTGTGGCTACAGCAAGGCAAACTCTGTAATGCCTTAAGCCAGACTTAAGCAAGTAGAACTTCATCAAAGCTCGTTTCAGCATGCCCTGGATTCACACCATGTGGCAGCAATGGGAGTTTTCACATTAGTGAATATTTTAATTGCAATTCTGCAAGTTAATTTGATCTTTAGCTCATCTCTAAAGGCTTGATAATGGCAGTCATAGAATCATGTAATCACAGAACGGTTTGGTTTGCAGAGGTTGGGACCTTGAAGCCCAATTCATTCCAACCCCATGGGCAGGGACATCTTGCACTAGCCCAGGTTGCTCCAAGCCCCGTCCAACCTGGCCTTGGACACTTCCAAGGATCCAGGGGCAGCCACAGCTTCTCTGGGCAACCTGTGCCAGGGCCTCCCCACCCTGACAGGGAACAATTCCTTCCCAATATTTCATCTAAACCTGTTCTCTGTCAGTTTGAAGCCAGTCCCCCTTGTCCTGTCACTACGGGCTCTTACAAAAAGTCACTCTCCATCTTTCCTGTAGGCTCCCTTCAGGTACTGGAATTCCCTCATGCTTGACCAGATGAGGTGGGATTTCACCTCTGGGTTGGACTCGACCTTAGAGGTCTTTTCCAACCTCAACCAGTGTGTGATTCCCCTCAGCAGCAGCTTTACCTCCCAACACTTCCTTGCAGGCTTCTGGTGCCCACACCAGGCCGGGCATGGCCACTGAGACTCAAATATGCCCGTGGATATTGTACTCACCCTCTTCATTCCCTGAAACAATGGAATACACGACTGTCTGGTTCAGGGCGGCCGCGGTGACAACGGCGACCACGGTTCCTTTGGGGGCACTTTCACTCACTGGGGGGGGTCTGCAGAGTGGAACAAAAGGATTGGGGTTACATTCCCGTTGCCTGAACAGCAGGTTAACAGCTTCCTCCATCTATCAGGCTGCCAAAGGGAGAGGATCTGTTATTTAAGAAAACCACATTAAAAAGGCAAATGTTGACCCCCCGTGCAAATGCAAAAACCAGTAAAAAGTCCAACTGAGGGGGCAACATGAACATCTAATGGTTCTTTGATATGAGAAATGGAAAAGAAGGGAATAATGAGCAGAAAGTGAAACAGAAGAACCATCACAGCCTGATAAACTAGGAGGAAAATTTAAAACATAATAGGTCTTTTACAATACTCAGAAATTTTATAACACTAAGAAAACTCAGTAATCTGTCAGAAAAGCAGGAAAATTTATATTCATGGATCAGTAAACACTTTGGGGTCACTTCCACAGGAATTTCTACTCTTCAGAAGGAAACATAAAATTTCCTGCCAACCCATTTTGGTACTAAAAGCCAAGATGCTTTTCAGGAAATCAACTTCAACCCAAGTCTAGCCAGCCCCTGAGAAGATGGGGAGGCCCTGGCACAGGTTGCCCAGAGAAGCCGTGGCTGCCCCTGGATCCCTGGAAGTGTCCAAGGCCAGGTTGGACGGGGCTTGGAGCAACCTGGGCTAGTGGGAGGTGTCCCTGCCCATGAGATGAGCTTTAAAATCCTTTCCAACTCAAACCACTCCCTGATTCTGTGATTCTGTACATACACAACTTTTAAGCATTGAGTACATTGGTTTTGGTTCACTGAGCACGATTTTTGTCAAGAAAGAAGAAAAAACCAAATGATTACATCACTAACACTTGGGTATCTCACAATCTTCATACCCTGCAAACACTGACCAGGGAGCATCTCACACTCAGCATTGTTCCATCATGTCTAAACAATGAGTGTCTTCCTGGAACGTGCCAAAGAATTACTTCACTCTTTCTCTTCTGTTTTTCAAATCCCATCTCCTCAGAAAATGTGATGAGGAACATTTTGACGTTCTGTCTCCTCAAGGAAGCTGTAACTATTTCAGAAAGAACAAAGAGCCTGTGCTGATGTCTTTAAACTGATCTAAACAATTTCAACCAAGAGAAGTGAGACACTCGAGCTCCTCTCCAATCAAACATTCAGATTTTCATCACGGCAAGCAAAGGTTGAATTCATGCTTAAAACTCTTAAAAAACAATTGGAAAGGAATTTTTTTTTTACACTCAGCCATAAATGCAGATGGATTTTTATTAAAACCAGCATCAGGCAGACACTTTCAATTTTTCAAAGTTGCACTCATTTGATGTACAACAAAATAAAAGACAGATGAGGATCTGTTCAGAGAGGCTCCTCAGCAGGAAGAGACTCCAAGGGCTATTTCAGTTGTGCAGCGGTCTTCAAAGTTCTGGACAGAACCTACACCTGCTTCATTCCAGGAAATATCACGGATGTATTTGGAAGACATGCAGATGTGCCACCTGGGGACACTCTCTAGTGGTGGCCCTGGCAGTGCTGGGGGAATGGCTGGATTTGATGATCTCAGGGCTCCTTTTAAGCCTCAATGATTCTGCGACTCTACGAATATTTTATGACTTCCTCCTTCAATCTTCCAAGTGTTTTTCAAGTATTCCACCCCATACCACATTTTCCCATTCTAAGGGCAGGCAAGTGGGCACGGCCCCAAGGCTGCCAGAGCTCCAGGAGGGTTTGGACAATGCTCTCAGGGGTAGGGTGGGATTGTTGGGGTGTCTGTGCAGGGCCAGGGGTTGGACTGGATGATCCTTGGGGGTCCTTCCAACTCGGGACATTCTGTGATTCCCTGAACCCCAGGTCACAATCCTAACTACTGAACCTAAATCTTTGCCATTACTCCCCAAGAAATGGGCAAATATACCCTTGAACTCTGCCTTACAAACACTTCCTTTGGGATGAATATTGGTTTGAACATCCTAGAAACAGGCTGAGACACTGAACATACACAATTAAGCTCTGCATCATGTAATAGTGGCTGAACTGAAACACTGACCTCCCCTTTTTTTTCACAGGAAAAAGTGATGGTAAATTCACTTTTACCCAAAGACACGTGCCTGGAGCAGATCCCTCTGGCTCCCACCCTTCTGCCTCTGCATCAGTGGGAGAAATCAAATTCCTCGTTGCCCTTGATTTATTAAGCTATAAAACTACTGCTATGAAATGCTTATTAATGTTCATTTTACCAATGCAAAGGGTAATCTTAGAGACAGGGAAAAAAAGGCTCTCAAACCTGGAAGCATTTAAAGCTGGCCTTCTTTTGATGAGGTCAGCAAAGAAAATAACCTTTTTATGTTGCATTATATATTATGTTGGTTTGTTTTCCTTCTGAAGGTGTATGATTGGAAAAAAAAAAACAAAAACAACACAAACTTCATTTCAAGCACACTTTCAGTGTATTTTTAGTGGCAATGGCCTTGTACCTCCCCCTCTGCCACGGCTGAACTCAGGGGATTGACAAATCAATAACAATTAGGGAGAGGTTTTGTGTTTGCTCTGAGAGGCTCTGGAGGGAGGGGCAGGAACCCCCCACGGTAATGGCTGTGGTTTCATTCCCCTGATTTAACCTCAGGGATTGGGATCAATGGGAACAATGCATCAGCTGGATAAAACACTCAGCTCGTCTCTTCAGAGCATTTTCCTGAACTGGAGAGAAGCAAAGAGGCAAAAACCAAGACCATTCGAGTGACAATATCCTGGGTTTTATCCTGTACTACAAGCTCTAATAAGCTTTCCTGGGGAATAAGTGCATTATTTTCTGTTTTGAATGACTAAGAAGTAAAATGGTGCTTTTGTTTCTTTTTCAGTGGAGGACACATTATTTGAAGCTGGATTAGGGCACAGGCAAGGGCGTTTTTATGCAATAATTTTGTGTTACTGGACGATAAAAGCTGGTTCTTTTTGTGAGAAGATGTGACTCCAGCAAAGTGGGAGAATCCAGCCCAAGCCATACAGAGAAGGCTTTGAAAACTGACCCTGGAGTGGAAGGGAAGGGCACTGCTGTGACCTCCACATGTGGTTTCAGAGAGTGGGCAGGTATTTTTGATCAAATTTGCAATAACTTAACCAGTCTCTGAGTGCAACACCCACCAGAGCACCACCCTGCCAGCCCCAGGCTCTGCCCACCTGGCACCACTGGGGTGTCCCTGTCACCTGGGTGGGATTGGAGTGGCACTGCCTCATGGCCCAGGACTGACTTCATGGAATCACAGAGTCCTTTACGTTGGAAAAGACCTTTAGATCATCCAGTCCAATCATCAATGCAGCAGCAGCAGCATGTTCACCACTAAACCATGTCCTGAGTGCCACAGCCACAGGTTTGTCTAACACCTCCTGGGATGGGGACTCCAAACCTCCCTGGGCAGCCCCTGCCAAGGCCTCACCACCCTTTCCAGCAACAAATTCCTCCTCCTGGCCAACCTGAGCCTCCCCTGGCACAGCTGGAGGCCGTTCCCTCTCCTCCTGTCCCTTGTTCCCTGGCAGCAGAGCCCGACCCCCCCCGGCTCCCCCCTCCTGTCAGGGACTTGCAGAGCCAGAAGGTCCCCCCTGAGCCTCCTTTTCTCCAGGCTGAGCCCCCCCAGCTCCCTCAGCCCCTCCTGCTGCTCCAGCCCCTTCCCCAGCTCCGTTCCCTTCCCTGGACTTGCTTTGAAATATTTTGATGGTTCCTTTCTGAGCACAGCACCCTCCCGAATCTGGGATTTCTAATTCCTCCCCAAGACTTCCCTGACTGGGATCCACATCCATACAGCCCCTGAAAGTAAGAAGACCCCATGCAACAACACGATGATCCACTTGCACCCCATAAAGCTTGGGGTGAAATAAGATAAACAGCAACCAACACCCACCCCAACCCCCTCAGCTGCAGCTCAGCCCACCCAGAGTCTTCATCCTTCCTCCTCAACACTCTCCTTTGCACAACCATCTGCTGAGACCATGATTAAATCTGTTCCTAGACCAACCTTCCATTCATTCCCACGGTGTTTTTCCATAACCATCCCAGTGATGTGGATTTTGGGTTGGTTGAGCCCCTTTAATGTTTCTACAGGAATAGTAAATGGTGGTGTCTCGTCAGCATCCAGGATGGGATGGAGCCCAGGAGAGACCCCTATCAATATTTCTTTGGGTTTGCCCCTCAGAAAAAAACCAAAGCAACCCCAAACCAGGAGAACAGGATTAAAATGAAGTCATTATTCATGTAAAAAATAGATACAAATTTTTAAAATAATAATATATTTTTTAATTTGCTCCATCTCAATTACCTGTCTCTTGATCGGGGGGGGGGGGGGGGAGGGGGGCCTCAAATGTCAAATACATTGCAGGGTTTAACTATTTAAAGTGTCTGAAGTGAAATTTTAGCTTTTCCTCTCTTCTTTTTCCCTTTGCTGAACACGTCAGACTCGCAGCCATTTTTCAATTTGCCTGAGATCCAATATGCTGCAAATTCACCATGAAACTTGTCTATCTCCCAAAGCATGAACAGGAGATTTAATAAAAAATTAAATTTAAAGGCAGCAAACCCAATAATAATTTGGAAAATTGGCTTAGCAGTGAAGTTTAATAGCGTGATGTGTATGGACTCCATATTAGACACTTCAGTCAACTCTGTTTGTGGACTTTATATTTTATATATATGTTTTTATAGCATATTTTAATGCATTTTTATATATATTTATATTTTAATTGATGGAGGTCCATAAGCATAGGTCAGAACTAAAGTTTTACTGTTGTTCAATGACACTGTTCGGATTCTCACCTCAACTTGATTAACACTGAGGGTATTTTCAATCAATTTATCAAATATTTGGGTTCCTAGAGGTGCAACTGTAACTGTCTCAACAGTTTGTTAGAGACAGTGATTATTTTATTTTTTTTTCTGGAAAAGAATATTTTCTTCTTAATTAGATGTACTTTTAAAGCAGTTTGGCTTCAAAGTTTCCTGAAAAGGACCACATATTCCTTACTGGACTTAATACCCTCCT